CAGTGCAACCCAGCCGAGGATGTGGACTCGGTGAAGGCAATCTGCCAGCGCCTTCTCTACTTCGTCGTCTTCTACTCCGTCCTTGGTCTCTTCTTTGTCGGCTACCTTAATTGGTACATGTACTTCCAAGTAAGCATTTCGCTAACATCCTAGCATCTTAAACACAATGGTCGCCGCATCTTTTAAATCTCTCGAAGCCTATTGGTGGATCGCTGGAAACTTTGGAAAGCGGCTGTTTCTTTGGCTTGATGTGGCGGAGACATTTTCACATCCATTTCGGAAGTTTTTATAAATATTGCAAATTTACACTTGAAGATAAATATACAAAGGCTAGTATTATCTTCTTCCGATTGCACACTTCGTTTTGGTAGTTAAATTTGAACAAAAAGTTAAGCTTATCATCTGTGTCCCATGTCAAATTCGCTTCCTCTTCACACCTGTTTTGCAAAAAATTTATAAAGAAAAAACAATTTAATCAACAAAACAGTTGAATCTCAGGCAGAATATCATTTATTAATTCCCAAATCAACTAGGCTTACATGATAGACGTCGTTTTCTTACAATCAAAACACGGCGTTTTCTGCAAGAGGCGAAACAACGATTGCCTCGGCTTGTCAAAATCGTTTTATCATATTCTCGTTGTTATTTCAACCACTGTTTAACAGAATGTGACCTAGTTGTTGCGTGTGGCACGAACCCTTGACCCTGTTAACACGTCTCCACAGAGCAAGTTAGTTTGCGTTATTCCGTAACTTGCCTCATTGTCCAAATGCCTCTTTTAAACGAGCGATTGTTTGGAGCGGCGTGTTGGTTACGATTGCAGTGGCAGCACACCGTCCTAGTTTAATGGAAGTTGGTCGCAGGCCCGTGGATTGGTCAACACGGTGTCAGGTTTTATGTAGTATCCATGCGCACAAATGACTGCGTAATTCGTCTGATGTTTGGAAGCATAGCTCGCATAACTTGTTTCCAAACTTAGCTGGACATATCTGGTAGGTGATTGTGTGGTGTTATTTTGGCGAAAAATTGAAATCAATTTGGCCCAATGCAGAATCCTTAGATTATCTTGAAAACAACTGACCAGAAGGCAGTTGTGTCGCTTTTGATGGCTCTCAATGCTGCGTCCCCACACTGGAACGCATCGTCTTCAGTTGAACAAATAAATCACAGTAGCTGAATGCTCGTAGAAGACTCCATCCTTGGAGGTTCTTCTGCCTTACAGCACATTCACAGACATTGTCCAAGATAATACGATGATCACCAGTGCATCGTCTGCCGCGACACACTTCAGGCCCATTGCCGGCGTTTGCCTCTTGCCCTTTTCCGCAAAATTGCAGTAACCCTTCACAGAATGACGCCTAGTTCGACCATCGTATCCCCGATCGTCTGGCCTGTGCAAACAGTAATGCTTGCTTAGCTTATAGACAAAAGTATTGTTTACTGAGACGGTTTTGTGGTATCCAGCAGACCATTATGTGTCAATTAAGGGTCTGTAGTTGACTGACAGACACCTGGCATGAGTGATGCGTGCATGAGGGCCCGAGTGGACCAATGACTCACACCCTTTGTTATTGGCCTTTTCAGCATTCGCCTGTTGAAACGGGCTGTTAACTAGGGGATTTTAAGGTAGTGCTAAATATCTTGCCACTACAGTTTGAAACCAATTATGGAGAGAATTTCAAGTTAGTTGGCGCGCTTTTCTCTCAATTGTAGGTGCCCCGAGATCACCCAGCCCTGACCGGCATGCAGTCGGCGCTTCAGATGAACCCGGGTCTCAGTTACGTGCCCAATCCCGACTTGTTCTCCAGTCTGCTCCACTTCCCAACTCCCGAACCTCTGCCCTCCAACGAGAAGTCCGACGAAATGGCCGCCTTCCTACACGCCTACCAGGACAACACGGGTTCCACGGAATACGAGGACTGTGTTCAGGAGGGCGGGTACAAGCAGAACCCCGAAAGACCCTGCACCTACGACCTGAACGCCGGAGGACCTTGCAACATCATGACTGGGTGCGGGAGTTTTCTGTTGCTCGCGTGCGTCGATTTAGGAAAACGAGTATTGTCGAGATTGGAGCACTCGCTGTCGAACTCTGGGTTCATCCATCGACTCGTATTCAAGTGGAGATTATGGACATGGTGTGCGAAGCCTTGCTTATCACTGCGAGAGTCTCACCAGCATTCAATTAGTCGTACCCCTGAATGCATTGCACCTGCTGGGGGAGTTCGAGGTTAACTGGCAGGCATAGCTTCACTGGCTTATCGGCATTTCGGCTACAATGTCCTTTTTCGTTTTGTATCGTTTTGGTTGATGAATGTCGGTGTTGAGGGAATGTATTGCTCTTCCATCGTAGATATGGCTTCGACACAGCCCAGGCCTGTTTTGTGCTCAAAATGGGCCGCATTTACGGATGGCTGCCCGACCC